TTGTCAGCTTGGTTGATTCTTTAGTGGCCTAGCCTGTTAGATACGTTGTATCAAGAGTACATCATGTCTCTACCTCTATAACCTATACATGCATGTACATTGTATATTAAATAAATTTTGTTTAAAAAGGATCAAAACTTAGGCTAAATTAAGTACCAGCCAAATGTCAGTATTATCACGAAAATTGCTAAAATAAGTACATGCATGCTAATAATTGTCTCCTTAAAGTAAACATGAATTATTTATTATTGTAATAGTCATTTCACATATCAATTCTGGAATATATCTAAAATGAAAAGCAGATAAAAATATTTGTCCTCTTGACCATCTCATCCTCTCCCTTTCTCTCTCTCTTTTAGCATCATCATCATGATTTGATACAAGTCGAATTTGGCTGCACAGAATTCTCATTATATATGTACATGTACATCTCAATTTTAAAATTCCTAAACTTTTAAAAATTAAACTGTAAAATACAACCTATTATAAAATTATGTACAAGTTACCAAATGAAAAAAGAAAATAAGAATAATAATAATAATAACTTTAATAATAATGGTACCTAATCAGACAGTTTGTCATAGTTCAAGACTTGTTGCTCTTCTTTCCTTTCTTCTTGTTTGGTCTTTTTCCTTTAATGACTGTCAGTTTATTTCTAATGTTACCTCGCTTCTTTGAACCATAACTCTAGTAATAATAAATAATAATAATAAATTAAAAATTATAAAAAAATAATAATACATAAATATAACATGTACAAGTAGCTGACCTTGCGGCTTGATAGTCTCTTTTTAGTAAAGACGTGACGCAAACTGTTACTAGAACGTACTCGATTGACTAAATCCTTAACTCTAGGAATAAAGGAAGAGGCTGATTTAAATAATTTCATTGATCTACATCAGCTCAAATGCATGGGCTACAGTAGTAGGTATTTTTCAGGAAGTGTCCCATTGAGGTTCAGTTTCTTACTTGTATATTCTCACTAGCCAATGCTCTGTTGTATAGGCTTCCTCTAAATGTGTGAACTTCACATTTTTATTACCAATCTCAACATTCCTGGTCCTGTCATAACCACCCGGTGTATTGTAACTATGCTGTATAGGGAGAGGGAGAGAGTGGGGGGAGAGAGAGAGAGAGAGAGAGAGAGAGAATCAAGTGATAAGATAAATTTACAAAATGAAGAGTACATGTAAAGGAGAGAGTAAGAGAGGGAGAAAAGGAAAAAAAGAGGGAGGGAAAAATAACTAACCTGTACTTCACCAAATCTATAGTAGCACATTTTATACATGAGACAATTGAGGAGGACAGGGGAACCAGCAGAATCAACTCTGAACTCGCCTTGTGGAGTGAAATACCTTGACTCCTAAAATAACCAAAAAATTAAAATAAAATAAAAAACTAATTTATTGAATGTAAACGTACATGTATCTCATTGTAATAGCTACTAATAATTAATAATATCAATAATAGCTGAAGAGATTGAGATAACACATTACTATACCCCTCAATTGAAACTGACAGTTTACATTAAACAAAAGTACACCAGTGTTTGGGAATGAGGGAAATAAATAAAATCAATTATTACAATAATTATTAAATAATTGATCACACTTTTAATTATTAATTGACCACACCCACCTTTATATCGTTAGGATGCTCTCCCTCAGCGATCCTCACCATCCATAGAAACTTGTTAATATCATCCCCAGAATACCCAATCATACCACCAAATATAACCAGCACATAGTCTACTCCTAGGTTCCTCATTATCTCATACGCCTTCTCTTCAGTACTGCTCATCGCTTTACCTATTAATGATGCAATGATGCAACATGATGTCACTAAATGAGCCACACCCACAAATAAAAAATGAGACCATAATTAATGGGAGTATTCTTTTCAAGCTTAACATTTTCACAAATAATTGAGTCAAAAATAAGGTGTAAATATGAACCATATCATATTGTACAAGTACAATACCGTATTTCCTCGTGGAAACGCCTAGGCGTTTATTTCTTATAGAGACCTGTTTGCTAGGCATTTAAATGAAGTAGGCGTTTATACGAAGTGGGCGTTTATAACCAAAAAATAATCCTTACCACCATGTTTCAATAGACACAACGCGTAGTTTAAAACTGACATCAAAACTTCTGAGTTTCTTTAGCCTTCTCAGCTGCAGCTGCCATTGTAGAATGTAAACTACTAAACTACGTATGGTACATGTACCACGTGGATGGGGTAGGTGGGTGTGGTATAGGCTTTTAATCAAGAATGGGCGTCTAAACAAGCATGGGCGTTTATTGTCAAAGTTATGTGCTGTCTCTAGGCGTTTATACAGGCATGGGCGTTTATAGGGAGTAGGCGTTTCCACGAGGAAATACGGTACATGCAAAATTCATGAAATTTCCACCTATACAGTAC